AGCATGAGCTTCCAGACGCAGCGCTATTTGGCCAGTTGTCTTGCGAAGAGCGGAGAGGGATCGCCCCGGCTCTTCGAGGAGACGGCCGACTCGACGCCGGCGCGAATCCGCGGGCGCAGCAGTTCGCCGCTGATGTCAGGAGCTTGAGCACGGTATCGGGCACAGCAACATTCTTCGCTATTTGGGGCACCGCCCTCCACTCCCTCGTCCGCGACGACGAGGTTAGCCAGGAGTTCTGTGCGATCGACCCGAGCATATTACGAGCCGCTTTCTGGGCTTCTTCAATGCCCCCTCCCGAACATGATGTGCTTGGGCCCCTGCCTGCATCTGGCGATGGTCACGATCTAGAACCTGCCTATAAAGGCGAACTGCTTTTAGACGATGGGTATGTTTGTGGCGCATGCTCTACCAGTAATAAGAGTTTGAAAACGCATCAGTTGAAAACGCATGGTATTCGAAACGCCGCTCGACTCGCTATCGTGACTAACCAATGTCCAGCATGCCGTTCGGGATTTAAGTCTAAAGCATGCGCGAAACAACACCTCGAATATGCGATGGTCCACAGGAGACGCGTTGCCGATTGATCTGCCCTGGGAATCCAGATTGCGGAACCTTTCTCCCTGTTGCGCCCCTTGTGCTCCGACGGTGCGGCAGAGTGTTTGGCTCAACTCCAGCAACATATTTGTGGGCGCGTACCTCTGGCATATGACCGCGAGCTAGATATCCGAGACGATGAGTCGTTTGATCGAACCTTCGGGGCTGTCGAGGTCCCCGCCCGCGGGGAAGGCCAGACGCATAGGCGGCCCACCCGTGAAGCACCCGCAGCAGCGTAATATCGACATCACAAGAATCAAGACGAGACCGCGAAGCAGGTGCTGACGGTAATTATGAAGCAGACCGCGCGCAACACGCAAGAGATTCGACGGATCAAGCCCACCGTGATGGACGCCTTTAGAGCCAAGAAGGCCGACCAGTTGGTCGTGGCCCTCGAGGGGGAACACAACAAGTACGTGGACATCGCCCAGCAGCAAGACTCCATGGAGGTTTCGCCTGCGCCGTGCAAGGCAGCGGTGCTGATCGACGAGCTCAAAGATCTCGACGTCGGCTGGGCGAACAAGATGCTGCTGGCGGATCTGGATCAAACCATGCAGAGAGCGAGCGTCGCGGAGGTCGAGCTGAACTTCCAATCCATCTACATCGAGAAGACCTTCGACTCCGAGATCGTGAAAGTGAACATCAGCATGTGTCTTTGTCCACAGCGGAGGGTGATCATCGACGCGCTCAAACACTTGAGTTGGCTTCGCAGTAATGCACCGGCACCTCCAGGGTTCATGGAGACGCATATTTCCGATTGGATCCAGGAGCTGTCCGAATGACTGCCAAGACGGAGAACGCGTGTGACGGGTCTAAGCCAGTGCCTACCTCTACTGGTTCACATTGTGTCTTGCTTCAGCAAGATCATGAAGCTGATGGTATTCTTTCGGGCCCAGCTGTGAGGGACACGTGTGGCGGGTTTTCGCCAATGCCTACTTCAACTGGTTCACAGAGTGTCCATCACAAGCAAGAACAGGATGCCGATGGTATTCTCTCGCACACAGATGCAAATTATGTGGTGGGGTCTCACACTACTAGAGCTGTTACGCCATCGTCAGCCCCGACCCCTGAAGGACCAAGTGGGTGTGTTTCTGATGCCCCCGCCGTACTGCAGACTTCTGAGGCCTTGGATCGTGGGCCGACGGAGGCGCTTGGAAAAAAGGGAAAGCAGAATGTGAGTCAGGACGCTAGCGGAGTAATTTCACCTCCCGCTGTTCATGCTGATGATGATATCTCGAGTACACAAGACGATGAGCGACCTTCGAAACGAGCCCGTCTGAGTGCCCCCTTCTGAGCCCCCAGCCTGAGCCAGAGTTCCAGCCAGTTCCGTCGGCGATTCTTCATTGGGCCCCTTTTCCGAAAGCAAAGCCCCGACCACGGCCCCACCTTTCCAGGGGGAGGGAGCGCATGCTCTGGTACCACTGCAATAACATGGGCTGGGTGTGGGATGGCGGGGCGCGTTTGAACGTTGCTCAAATAGTATGTTTCGTGTCTCCTTCCCACCCTCGTCTCCTCTCCTCCCGCCGTCATCCTCCTCCTCCTTCCGTGTGCCGAGGGCTGGCCAGGACCGTGCCGCCCTCGTTCATCTGCTTGAGAGGGCTCTCTGGGGGGGTGAAATAAGCCCCCCGCTCAGAGCTCGTCGCACCTGCCACGTAGTGGCTTCAGGGGTCAGCTTTAGCACGTGTAGGCCCATTTCCTTGATTTGGGCTTAGGATGAGGATTGCTTTTGGCCATGACCTGCGAGGGAGAGATGGTGATGGTTAGGATGATGATGATGCTGCTGATGACGATGGTGATGATGACGATGATAATGCTGATGGTGGTGATGATGATGATAATGCTGATGATATGGTCAGGACGCCCTCCCAGTCGGTCGTTTGGGGGTGCTGTGGTGGGTGGGTGGGGGGTGGGACGATCACATACATAGACACAACGTCATGTGCGTATTTATTTATATGTACACATAGAGGTTTAAGTGTGTATATATTTACATATATAACAACATCTATTCTAAACTGGTTGTGCGACGTGTTCGGGTCGGACGCGCGCTTCCGATGAGGACACACAGTGCTAACATGCCCTTGTGCGTCCCATTCGATCCTGCCGCGCTGTGCAAACCGCTCTGCGGGCGTGCCCCGACCGGGCCTGGGGTTTCTGAGGGTGCCTAAATTGCCCAAGGTACCCCCAGGTTCTCGCTCTATTTTGAAGCCCCTGGGGCCCTCTGGTCCTCGTGAAGGGTGCTCTGAGGGCCGTCTGCGTTCCCCCGAGAATTTTGGGGGCGCGTTGGGCCAGGGCCATTTCTAGCAACACCCGACTGGGCCCGCGAGGGTCCCCGCCCTTGCCACTCCGACCCGAGGGCCGCGGATGGGCTGCGCCGCTGGCCGCTGACGCCCGGCGGGAGGGAGGCCGGCCATCTCGCCGCGGGGTCGCGACAGGAGCGGTGCTCGGCTGCACGTCAGAGCGACCTTTCGCCGGAGTGACAGTTGGTGCGGGCCCCCTGGGCCCCCCCGATCGCGGAATGCAATGCGATAGTAGCGGCTGGCGCACCTGGGTGTGTCCCCAGAGGGCACCCATGGGCCGCGCACCACAGGTCACTTTTGAACGTAGGGTCACTCTTCCGTGTAGCCGAGATGCCGGGTCCTGTTCGGGGGTCCAGGGAGTGCAGGCCCGGGCTTGGCGGTTCAGAAATGAGGCCCTGAGGGACGGGGCCCCAATGACAGGATGTGTATCGCAAGATGAACCTTCACTGCGTAAGGCTCTCGTGCTCAGGCCCCATCCCTGAGGGCCCCATGTTTTAACCGCCGACAGGCCTCCTCGTGTCTTGAAGAAGTCACGGCGGAGTTGTTCGTTTGTTGTCTCGGTGTTTCGGCCTCCTGGGGGCCCTTGCCAGGCCCTGGGGCCGTCAAGAAACGGCTCGGGACAAGAAGCCCGTGCTGGGGATGGGGTCAAGACCTTGGGGGGTTCTCGTTGCGAAAAACGAAGGCGTCGGGGGTCTGGGGAGGTGGAGGGCCCCCCCACGCCTTCGAGGATCGAACGCCGGGACAGAGGCTATACTGAATCGGTGACGAAGCATTCTGGTCTGCCTGCTGGCCCATCAGTGGAGTAACAGGTTACCAGACCATTCTCGGCGGAGGCAATGTATATTGGATGCGTCGGCTTTACGTTATGAAGCAGCGCTTTTGATACTCGAGCATTCCTCTGTCCTGCGAACATGTCGTAGTGTGTGCATCGGGGTGCAAGGGCGGTCGGCCCCTGCTCCAGGGCCCTGGGTAACATGGTCCGTGGGGGCGTGTGACGGATCTCTCGCGCGCTGGTGAGTCATGGGAGAATGCGGACGGATCTTCGATTGCGCTGAGACTGTGAGTTGACAGGCCTGTGGAGCGTCTGACCCTCAACCTGAGATGCCTCCAAAGCAGCCTCGCTTGCATCCTGGGTTTTTAGGAGACTCGCCGAATGGAAATGGTGGTGGAGAGCTTGGACTACCTCATGAGAGGACTAGCTCCTTTCGGGGACACACACAGCCTTCTTCGTCTTCGTCTGGTAGTGCACACTATACATATGCGCTCTGAAGCACAACTCGAGCTCGACTACAGCCGCAAGTGCGAGGCTACGAGTCAGCAAGGAGCGACACATAACATGTCAGAACATGCCATCTCCGACTGAGGCAGGGTAAGCTAGCTCTCCCAGCGTACCCTCTCTAGGTGGGGATGGGCGCTGCGAAGCTCCGAAGGAGACGGCACCCATCCCCATCTGGGGCGGGGATAAGTCGGCCAGCGGGGCCAAAGTTTCCCAAGGCGGAGTGGGGATGGTTTCAGCTATCCAGCACGTGTCGTCCGAGTCGAGCGGGGAGCGGCACAGGACGTCTAGGTTCCCCCCCCCAGCGGTACGAAGGTGGTCGCGCTTCGCGCGCCGCGGCCTGAGCCAGAGCTGCCCTTCTCCAAGGTGGCTTCGCGGTGGCGGGAAGAGAACCGCGCGGGGAGCACCGCGATGCGCGACGCACGAAATTATGCGACCTAGAAGCATGCTATCGTAAAGGCCTTGGGCCTGTGCCGCCGATCGGGGACGCTCCAGGACGCTCCGTGCGTTGTCGTCCTGCTTCGTAGGATGTGAGTTTTACCCCAGTGAGGCAGGAGGGAGCGGGAGGAGGAGGAGGAAGAGGAGGAGGAAAAGGAGGAGGAGGAGGAGGAGGAGGAGGAGGAGGAGGAGGAGGAGGAGGAGGAGGAGGAGGAGGAGGAGGAGGAGGAGGAGGAGGAGGAGGAGGAGGAGGAGGAGGAGAGGGAAAAGGAGGAGGACGGGCTTGAGGGTCTTGGCAGTCGCCTGAGGCCACATGTCTGCGTCGTCCGAGTCGAGGTGGCCCGGCAGACGGAGCGGAGCGGCCCAGGCGAGGGGCCTGCCCTGGCGGCAGCATGTCGGCAGAGGCGCGGGCGCTGCTGGACTCGCTCATGGGCCCCGCCCGGGACAAGTCCAGAGAGGAGCGCTGGTGGGCGCTGCCTAGTCGTCCTCATCCTCGTCGTCGTTACCATCATGTTCATGATCCCTCCCCGTCCGCCTCAATCATCCGCCTCCTCTTCCCCTCGTGCTCCTCCTTCTTCCCACCCCGTCCTCATCGTGACCCTCCTCCTCATCCTCATCTCCCCAGGGGACAAGTCCAGAGAGCAGCGCATCTTGCAGGATCCTGCAAGGCCTGACTGACCCGGCTTTGCATTGACCCAGGTTAGTGCGTTCCCGAAGCGCCCGTGGGCGCTGAACCAGCGAGGTTGCTGCGCCCTCTCTCGTTCTGTCGAACTCCCCCAGTGTGTCCGATCCAAGCGGGTTTGCAATGCTTATGTTTGCATCCGTGGCGAGTCGTTTCTGGCCCGGGGTGCCCCAGTAGAGATTTAGAGCCAAAAGCTTTGCGCAAGCTCCATGTGCAATCGTGCTCGACATCGCACTATGGGCACTGGGCCTGGAGAACGGGGCCCCCTGCATTGCGCATCTATGTATCTTGCTCTTGGATCTGGATTGCGCCATTTTCGGTCTTCTCAGCAGGTGTGGGCGTGGCTCCGCTCCAAGCTTTCCTGCGTGAAGGGATCTTGCAAGAAGGCAGTGCTTTACAGGTGTGTGATGTCTCCTGCTCGTTGTCCTCTCTGCCTCTGTGTTTCTCCCCCCCTCATCCACCTTCTGCTCTCATCTCGGTCTGCGCACCGTTTGTTTAAGTTAATCTATGCTGTTCATGGTTATCCAGCAGCATGCCATCAGTCAACCCTTGTACCGTGGTGGTGGGTCGGGAGGAGAACCTCAAGGCAGACGGGTGGAAAGAGGGCAACGTCTGCAAGAGATACCTCGTCGGCTTCTGCCCAAACAACGCGCAGGACAACTGGTGCGGGCCCGGGCAGGCAGGGGCCGCTGAAAGGATGTTACAGCACGATCATTTCGATTCGCCACGAGGGCGCGAAATTGTTCGTGTTTCGCGGTTCGCGGCCCGCGATTCATCATCCTCATCCTCCTCGTGCTCCTTTGTTCCCCCCTGGGGGAGGGGGCGGCGCGAGAGCGCGAAGTCGTTCGCGCTTCGCCTTTCGAGCTCTCTCGAGGCTCGAAGATAGTTGCCCTCGGGCCATACACGAAACGCAAATCGGCGTCAGCCCCTCTGTGCGAAAGGAGATCACCAGGCTGGAAGACATCCCGATCACTGTGATTGGCATCTCCTCATCTCGATACCGATCTTGAGGATTCCATGAGCTTCTCAGGGCGCATTGCGAAGATTGTCCTCGCCGTTTGGCTTGTCAGTTCTATCATTGAGTATAATACAACCACTGTCCCAGATAACGCACAATGAATGTGTGGTCTAACTTAGGCTCCCAGTTTTTCGGCGTATCACTAAATATGTGGGCGGTTTCGTCTGAGACATCTGGGGAAAGACCCCGTAGCCCTAATGTCTCTAGCCCTTCTAGCTGAGGTCCCCTCCCGAAGGAGTAGGGCTTCGTTTTCTCCTTGTCAGCTCAGGGACAGGCAGAAGCTCGAGGCTTGTGAGAAGAGGCGCTGTTACTGCCCACCCAGCCGAACCCCAGCGTGCGGAAATCTCGGGGGGGGGGGGTCCGCAGGAGGAGGAGGAGGAGGAGGAGGGGGAGGAAGAGGAGGAGGAGGAAGAGGATGAGGAGGAGGGGAATCCCCGGGGGGGGGGAGGGGGGCGCGGCCTGCCCCATGCCGAGACTCGGGCCGTGGCGCACTCCACCCCTCGGCGGCGGCGCGCGGCCAGAGTCGCGCGGAGCCACGGCAGAGCCCCGACCAGGCGGAGCGGGACGGGCTTCAAAAGCAGGGGCTTGACCACAGAACCGAGTCACCCCGACACCGATCGCTTCTTGCGCCGGATGTGCAAGGAACTGCGCAGTCAGGATCCTCCGCAGATCCTGCCCCACAGTTGATTTGTTCGTCGTCGGATCTGCGAAGCATGCGTAGAGTGCTCCGTGGATCGATGGAGCATGTTCTACGCATTCTTCGTAGACTCGGCGAATCCACGATCGATGTTGGGGTTAATCCGTTCTCTGTGTTCGATCCCCTGCTCGAACGGCCGAGCCCCGACCGAGCGGAGGGCGGGACAGGGAGCACCCCGCGGTGCGGCGCGCACGTGCGCTCTGCACTCGCTGTCGCCCTCATGGCAGCGCCTTCCACGGGCCACTGCGTTTCTGCGGCCTGCGGCATTTCTGGGGAGCCTGCAAGCTCGTGGAGAAGGAGCTGCGGAGAGTCTTGCGGCAGACGTATGGGGAACGTCGGACCACGTCTTTGGGACACGTGCTCCATGTCGCCTTCAGGTTGCGTTTCTGCGGCTTGCGGTGCGCGTGTCTCGGAGCTAAACAGCAAACTGTTCGCCATTCTTGTGAGCCTTCTTGAAACTACAGTATTGTTGACAGACCAGTTGCCCTCGGCCCAGCCGCCACCATTCCCGGCTTGTGGCTCAAAGGCATCTTGGGCACCAGCAAGGGTCTCTTGGGAGGCTTATAGGGATTTTTTGGGAGGTAGTTCTGATGCCCCTCGGGGTCCGTTTGGGGGGCCTCTGTGGGGCCTCTTATCCGCCTCTTAGGGGGGCTGTTGAGGCATCTTGGTGGTCTCTTGGGCGCCTGCTGGCGGTCTCGGGTTTCCTCTTGGGGAAGAGGGCTCGAAATGTCAGTTCGAATCTTGGAGTCTTCTTGAGCCTTCTTGGGCCTTCTTGGACGCCTCTTGGGCTGTCGGAGCCCTCTTGGGGGCCTCTTGGGCCGTCTTGGTGCGATTATGGGGGCCTCTTGTGCCGTTTTGGACGCTCTTGAAACTAAATAGGCGAATCAGAGCGAGGGGCCCGAACGGTCATTCACTGTCCCTGGGTGTGTGGCTGAAGTGGGATTCTTAGATGCGGATAATTGTTGTTGTTGCTGCTGTTTATATTATTATTGTTGTTGTTGTTGTTGTTGCTATTGTTGTTGATGTTGCTGTTGTGGTGGTGGTTGTGGTTGTGGATATGATTGTGGTTGTGGTTGTTGTTTTGTTGTTATTGACTGGCATTCTTGTTGCTGCTGTTGTTGGTGTTGGTGTTGGTGTCGTTGTTGTTGTTAGTGTCAATGTTAAAATTCAGGTTGTTGTTGCTGATGTTGTTGCTGCTGTTGTGGATGATGTTGCAGTTGTGTGGTGTGTGTTGTTTGTTGGTGGTTGTTTGTAGTTTGTTGTTTGTTGTGTGTTGTGCTTTGTTTGCTGTGTGTTGTTTGTTGTGTGTTGTTGTTACTGCTGGTCTTGTGGTTCTTGTTGTTCTTGTTGTTGTTGTTGTTGCTGCTGCTGCTGTTGTTGTTGTTGTTGTTGTAGTTGTTGTTGTTGTTGTTGAACATTATTAATTCTAAAGAATAATTATTGTTGGGACCCCTGGTGCACGGCCCCCCTGCGCCGCCTAGGCCGCAGCTACATTTTCATCATTTTCGTGAGGAAGCCTCAGGTAATTCGATGTGATCAAGATCCGGTTGTTTTGTTCCCCCCCGCTTTCCCTTGCAAAAAACACTATAAAATGACATTTCTTGTTCTAATATAATCAAATTTCAAGAATCCCTTGCAAAAAATAAGGTAAAGTGGACATTCGCGCGCGCAAGACGAAATCCTTCCAAAAGCTTAGTGTTCGCAGCGATTTTAACATAAAAACATCAAAAAACCAATGGTTTTTCAACAAAAAAATGTCAAAATCTCATCCCGCGCGCTCTTGCGGATTCGTAGGAAACCCAACACTTTTTAAACATTTCTGTCAAACGGGCTTTTGCGAGCAACTTTTTCGAACTTCTGCGACAACGGTTGCGCACCTGCCAGGGCCATCATCCCTGTCAAATAATACCATGCGGGACACATTCGTTTTTTCTTCGCGCGCGCACGCCGAAATCTCCAAAAACCATTGGGCTTCTTAAGAATTTTAGCACCGCGCATCATAAAATCACACGAATCGCACCGTAGGTCCTCGAAAAACACCTGCACGACTTTTCAAAATTTCTACCCGCGCGCGCTGTCCTAACAACTTCTGTGGGTGTGTACTCCACGCCAGTGTAGTAGCCACGGTCGTCCGCAGGCCACGAAGTGAAGTGTCCGAACGTCATAGGGCGGGAAGCTGGGTGTGGGTGGTGGCGAAGAGTCGTGTGGATATTTGGTAGAGCTTGCACTGCCCCCCCACAAAGTGGGGGTATTGGCTGGCGTCGCATGAAAACCCTGGCACTGGTGAGAACACTGAGCGTTCGGGTAAAGTGATTGTTGTTGTTGTTGTTGCTGCTGCTGCTGCTGCTGCTGTTGTTGTCGTTGTTGTTGTGGTTTGGCGTCGTCCCCACCGCGACCCTGCCCGCGACCCACCCGCGACCCACTCCGCGACCCACCCGCGACTCACCCGCTACCCACCCGCGACCGACCCTGCGACCCACCCGCGACCCACCCGCGACCCGGCCCGCGACCCACCCGCGACCCACCTGCGACCCACATGCGACCCACCCGCGACACAACGCAAACCTTGCACACGGAGGCGCTTGAGAAAAAGAGGACGTCGGACGTCATGACATCACAACGGGCAGCGAGTATGACTGGATAAGGTGTTGATCTGCGGCTTTCTCTGTCTGGGCCTGCTCTGCCGCAAGTGCGCATCGGCCTTCAGAGGGGTGTTGCGCTGCTTCCAGACGCTTCTTCTTGTCCCTGGAGGCCGCTCGGCGCATTTCTTGTGGGATGCCCCCTGTGAAGCACCGCCGCGCCGGACATGTGCGGACTCTGCGGACGCGAGGCTGAGTCACCGCTGCCTCAAGGACGTGCTCCTGGGGACGAGCAGCACGTGGCACGAACGTGAGCTGATTCTTGGAGGTCCGCGCGGACCTCTTGTGCTGGGGCGCCAGAGACGCCGCTAGGGGAGGGGCCCAGCGCCTGCCTCCTGCTCAATCCGCGTAGTCAGGCCCCCGCGTGTGTCTGTCAGGAGGAAAAGAAACACACAGACACAATTAATCTTCGATTTCCCAGAAAATATGGGAAAATATGGGAAGTGGGGGGGAAGACAAAAACCCAGAAAAATATGGGAAAATATGGGGGATCCTTTTATTTGTGTGTATTTATTTGTGTGTCCCAGTTCCCCTTCAGTCTGCAGTTGCTCCTCTGCTCCGGGGCGGGGCCGTGCCCCCCCCCCGTTGGGGGCAAATGGGTGGTCGTGGTGTGTATCGCTGGGCTCGGCGGCCCGCCCCGGCGCGCTTGCAGGTCGGCTCGTGCGAGGGGTCCAGTTTGCTCGGCGACTGTTCGATTTGCGTGGTGGTTGTCTCACCCAGGGCTGGACCTAGACGCTGCTTTGCTGGACTTCGGCCGTGTTTTGTTGTTTTCGTTTTGGCGGGGAGATACTGGAAAACAGGTCGAGCAAACCGAAAGCCGAAACGAAAACCAAACGCCCTGGTCTCACCCATGGTGTCTTGCGCGGACTGAAAGACAACCAAGTGTAGCAGAACATCGCCCAGGCGCGCGGTCTGGGCCCAGCCCCGGCATTCTGCCAGCTCGCGACGCGGTCTCCCGCGGAAAGAGCTGGCGCCCGCAGAGGTGGCTTAGCACGGTCGGTGAGTGTCGTATCAGATCGTCGGCGGCCCCGCTATTGGCGTTCTAGGTTGAACGCCGCCATCGGCCCAGAATCCACCAGTATGGATCGATCTGGCGATCGAACATTGCAGAAAGACAAGCTTCGGGTGCGGAGGATGCGACTGGGAGAAGTGATCACATCATCAAGTGCACCGCCTATGTTGAAGGTGCTTGTTATACAGTTGTACCCTGTATCTTCCCAGCCCCTTCCTCCCAGCACGGTAATTGTGTTTATCACAACCCGCCGATCGGTCAAGGGTGACACATCCACGCGGTGGCAGGAACCAAAGGCAGGGTTGGCGCGGCACGAATCTGCCCTATGCACTTGGGGTGTCAGGCCAGGCTGTGGTAAGGCCTCGGTTTGAGTTTCCGGCGCGAAAGGTCGGGTAAGCGAACGAACAGTCAAGTTCAGCGCGCGCTTGTAAGTCGTATCATAGTGCCTCCATAGCCGCTGAAGTTTTTCTCAGCGTGTCATCTGCACCGCCACTTTGCAGGGCATGGGCTGGTGACCGAGGGCAAAGAGAGGGGAGGTTCCACAATACAAGGCGCAAGGACCTGAACGAATGCAGGAAGATTCATTCGGACAGATTGCGGTCGGTTGGGAGTAGATGGCAGTGAAATGATTGTCTCTCCTTGCATGGTTCGGGGCTGGGAGGGAGTGAAGGACGGTATGCGGAGGTGGAAATATTGGTGGGCTTCTCGCGGCTACTTTTTTGGCTCGTGAGTTTATATGTCTGTATGTGTTTGCGCGTGTGCGTGTGTCCGTAACTCTTTGGCTCAAGCCCTTTTGGCTCAAGCCTTCGGCTCAAGCGGCTGGCGCCGCTGGGCTGGCGGTCGCCTGACCGACGGCTTGCCTGGGGTGGGGCTGTGAAGGAGTTCCTTCCCGTCACGGCCCCCCGTGCCCATGGAGTTCCGCTCCTCTCTGCGCTCCCACGATCGTCGCACGGCCGCTGGCCGGGCCGCTGCCGCGGCTGCTGGCACCGCGCCGCCTGGCCTCGCGCCCGGCCGCCCTGCCGTCGCCAGTGCCGCCGGCCCTGCCGCGCTGCTGGCCATCGCGCAGGCCAGTGGCCCTGCTGGCATGCGGGCCGCCGGCTGCCCAGCCCCGGCCGCTGCTGCGTGCGGCGGGGCCCTCGACGCTGCGCCGCTGCGGAGGCCGCGGCGGCCGCCGGCCTTTGGTTGGCCGTCGCTGCCGGGGCGCGGGTCGCTGCGCTGGCGGCTCGCGCGGCTGGAGCGCCCCAGGCGGCTGCCGCTGGGTGGGTGGGGCTTGGTGAGCACCTGGGGGCGGAGGCGTCTCTGCCTGGACTCGCTGCTCAGGCGGCCATGGCACTGCGTCCCAGCAGCCGCAGACGGCGGCGGCTGGCACTGCTGCCGCGGCTGGCACCCCTGCCGCCGCTGGCGCCGCCGGCCTTGCCGCGCTGCCTACAGACTCGGCGCCACCTGCGGCTGGCCTTCGCTGGTGAGCCGCTGAGGCTGGCGGCTGGTCCGTAGCTTTGGCCGCTGCCACGGCTGCCGAGGCTGTCACGGCGGCCAACGCCGGCGCCGTCTCCGCCGCCGCGGCGGCCGTGGCTCGGGCAGTCGCCTGGTCGCCAGCTGCTGCTGCGGCGGCTGCCGCTGGCGCTGCTGCTGCGGCTGTGGCTGCTGTCGAGCCGGCCGCGAGCGGCCCCGCGGCCGCCTAGGCCGTTGCTGGCGCTGCCGCCGCGCCCACCAGGGGCGCTGGCGCTGCTGCCATCGACGAGCTGGCCGGGCCGCCGCGGCTGCCTGGCGATGCTATCGCTGCTTCTGGCACCTGGGACCCCGTTGTCCAGACCGACGGACAGCACGGCCGCATGAACGTGCTTGTTCCTTCGAGATTGACATCTCCAGAGGTCTCTTCCCAGGAGGAGTTCGCGGAGGGCGTCGGGGGCGGGGGTGTCACGGAGGCGTGCGACGTGGGCGACGGGAATAAAGATGACGGCATAGATGAGGAGGAGCCGACAGTTGAGATTGCCAGCGCTCGCATTGCCATGGCGGCGATCATCGGCATTCTCCTCCATGACAGGCGCCCCACAAGGCTCGCGCTCGAGAACGACCTTGGCGCCCCGACGTCGGCGGGCGGCTCGAGCGCTTCTGGCGCTGTCTGGAGACGCCAGGCAGCGATGCTGCATGGCCGAGTGAGCGCGTTAACCGTCGTGTGGCGCATCGCACATGTACTCGCCGGCATTGTGGGGGAGGTGCACGAGGATGGGGGCGACGACGTAAAAGGCTGACAGCGTCGACGGGGAGATGGGCGACGGCGACGTGACGGAGGACGGGGAGGGGGGAATCAAGAAGTCAGGGGTCGCGGACAGCAGATCGGCGTTCGTCGAAGAGGATCCGATCGGCTTCTGGGTCCCTGTTGGCATCGCGCTGCGTGGCAGCGCAGAGAGCCTAAACCATATCTGGCCCGATGACCCGACGCTGGATGGCATCGTGCTGGTGGGTGCCGCGTTGGGCGGCATCGCACTTGATGGCAGCGCGCCGAAGACGCGGTGCAGAGCACCAAAGACAAGAGCGTCAGCGACGGAAGTGTCGGGTTGACGGAATAGATCGTCGCCGAGGGGGAGGGCGGCGGCGTGTGCGTTGAGCTCTTCTGCTGTCCCAGTCCAAACAAGTATTCGGGCCTAATCAAGGGCCCCAACCCATCGGGGCGCCGGGCGGCCCTTGGGGAGCCCGCTGAGAGACCCTGGACCCATTCTGTATTTCCTTCAGTACCTTCTCCGATGGATGCAGGCCACCTTGCCGCCGATACAGGCAGCGCCACCACGAATCTGAAGACGACAGACTACACTTCCTCCGTCTCCGATCAAGTCGTGAATGATGACGTCGACAAGGGGTCATAGACGAGCGCTGCGCCAGGGCAGAATTGCAAGAATCAGAGGAAGTCGAGGATTCAGTAGCCCTCTTCGGTCCATGCGCATGTCCGACGATCTGCGCGAGAGCGGAGGGGGGCATGCGCGTTGCCGACGACGAAAGTGAGGAGATGAGCACGCCGACTAGAGGGATTAGTCTGCGGCACGACGGACAAGACGAGCTCTCCCTGCGCCGCCTGGTCGCACAGGGCCGCTTCGCGCCTCTCTGGCCCCTGACGCCAGAGCAAGCCAGCGCAGACGACTGGAGCTTGCGCCGAGCTGGGGCAAGACCTGCGCGCTGCCCCGGCAGTCGGCCCCAGTGGGCGGACCGCGAGGGCGCGGCGGACCACCTGGCTGGCGATGCGTCTCCTGCAGACTCACTCGGGGGCCCTTCTCGCGAGTCGCCGCCCAGCGAAGTCGCGGGGGCCCAACGCCGAGCGCCAGCGCTGGGCACTTGTCCGCCAGCTGGCGGCGCGAGCTTGGAAGGCGGGCGCCAGGCCCCCGAGCTCGACAGGCCGCGCGGCCAGGCTTCGTCCGCCTGGCCACCCTCCTGGAATCGTTCGCGGGTTTCCCCCTCCACGCTGCGGACACGGCTGGCTCCCAGCGGGCCCAGGCGAGCACGGCCGCCCGTCGCGCTCGGACAGCGCGGCTGCGAGTGGCGCCAGCGTTCGAATGGAGGTCCAGGGGCCTCGCGCGCCGGCTGTCTCTTCCACTGCGCCGCGGACGGCAGACTGGTAGCTGTCGCTGTGGGCGGCAGATAGGCAGCGGCGCGCGACGGACGCGCGCCCCCCGCTGATCCCCCACCAATCATGACCCACGGCTCCCCGTGGACATCGCGAGCACTGGGATCACTTCACCAGGGATTGCAGAGTCCAATGGAAGGGGCGAGCTCGCCCAGAAATGGCCCCTAGACAGGTCGTGATCGACGTCCTGCACTCGCTACCAGCACGCGGGCGGCAAACGGCTGGCACGCGCGCCCTGCCAGTCTCGGCTGGCCCGACCGGCCATCGCAAAGCAGTCGACGACGCCGACTCGGCCGGAAACTTGGCCGGCCAAGAGGGCGCCGCCGAGAAGCAGCTCGGGGACCGTATCAAACGGTTGGGGGGCCAGAGCAAGAAGGTTTGGATAGCTGCGGTGGCAGGACGTGGGCTTCCTGCGAGATTTCCTCGCCGGGTGTGAGTAATTAGGGGATCGCGATGCAGTCGCCTGCTTCGGTCGGTCGTGCATTGGGGCACCCTCCGTTCTGTCGCCGTATTTGCCCTGTCACAAACCGATCAGTCGCACTGCTCGCGCGCCGATCTGTCGCCTCTGGGACTTCGCCCCTTTCCGCCCAGTCCCGGCGGTGTTTCAATCGCCGTTGCTTCCGCCAATCTTGGCTTTGGGTGTCGCGGCGCTTTGTTTTCTGTCGGAGTTGGTGGCGCAGCGTTCCCGCCGCCCCCGGCGGCGCTCCCCTCCGCGGTGGTTGGTCGGT